TCCGTGGTCATTGATGGACACAGCCCACTGCTCTATTTCTGTTTCAGGAGATAGTGCCCTGGGCTATCATTACATGTGAAAATAGCTTATCCTTCTATGCTTCCACTGGACACAGACACCCCTGCCCTTGGGGTCTGCTGGTGCCTGGAGCTCAGATCCTGACATGTGGCCCCAGACTGAGCCATCTCACTTTCAGTGAATTCTCTTGTCCCTCTGCCAAGTTCTGAGCCAATCTAGAGTGAGCCTGCTTTAGATTACATTCAGTGCTTCCTAAAAGTAAGTTTCTACCAGCTGTGAATGACAAAGCCCTTTTCAGTTGACCCCTTCAGTCAGCTGCCGAACCCTGTTTGGTATTCAGTAACCCTCTCCTTCTGTGCCCAGGCCGGTGATGCGGTAGCAGTGAGCCTCTTCTCAAGACTGTGCCTGATTATATTCTACTGATGGGCATCTTTAAGGATCTTTCAGAAGCACTACCACGCAGAAAATACTTAATCTGAAAAAAATAGGTTGTCCTGCTATTCAAAGAAATCAATGGGATGGTCAGAGACAGCCCTATTAGTATTTATTAGTATTATTGTAATGTAAAGCTTCCAAGTACATATATAACTATTTAGATAGGCTGATACTTCTAGTTCCAACCGAATCTAATTATGAGTTCCTAATTTGATTTAGTGGCTGAAAGATTTGGAAAGTCCTTGTTTGACTTCTTAGTGAAGTTTAAAAAAAAATTCCTTTGTACCTATGTTATGGTGAATTTTCATGAAAAATTGACAACTCAGAAGACAATCTTCGTAATTAAGAGCATCTGCTCCTATGAAGAGCTCAGAGTTTAAATGAAATGTTGTTAAAATTCAAAAACTTTTTTTTATGTTTTATGGAATGGTATAATGATTGTCTATTGAGCAAGGGACTTTTTAGTTTCACTCTTCTAAAATTTGTGTTCAAAGTACACTCATCAAATAGTGGGTGAAGTATACACACTATGAAGTGATGTTCATTGTGGTTATATACTAAATTTTATTTACTGGCTTTAGGACATACCTAACATTAGAATTACACTTTTTTTACTTAAAACACCCTGGAGGACAGGGTGCCCTGTATCTAACCCTCTGTGCCCAGGGTCTACAGCACCTTGAACATACAAAATGTAGATAATCAAAACAATGCCAGACTATAGCTCTCTGGGGCATGGCCTGTTCACCATGTGGCACTGAATTTTGTGTGTATAAAGTTCTGAACATTTTGTTTGAATATGCCTCTTCAGACTTGCGATTTCAATTTATTTAGAACAAATGCTCTCAGGGTTATCATCTTCCTATCAACTTCCGGGCAAAGGTATCAAAAACATTCAGATCAGAAGAAGGGGAATATGAATTGAAGTCCACAGACTTTTATTGAGTACTTACTGGGGAAAAGCTCAGGGCTGGGTGTTGGAGGATGACGAAGATAACAAGCAGAGTTAACACTTACTGAGTATTTACTAGATGCTCAACACTCTAAGTGAAGTCAGAAGTGCCTTACATGCATTGACTCATTAACCCACAATACTACAACGTATCGGGTTTTGCCATCTGAGGCCTTAAAATCTAGGACAGACTTCCTCTTTCCTTTCTCCTTTTAAATTTCTTGTGGACACTACCCTGCCCAGCAGAGTGAACCTGGAGGGAGGACGGGAGTGGAGAAGGAGAGAGGTAGAGAGAGGGAATGAGGAGGAGAGACAGAAAGAGAAAAAGAAGAACAGATCTGGATTTTAAAGTTTGGCTTCATTTCAGTAGGAGGCAGACTAAACAAAAATAAATTTGAATTTTTATCAAAAATTATCTTCACAGGCTTTAGAGCAGGATGCTGATCTTCTTGAATGAATGCTTCAATAAATCTGTCATCATTTTCAAATTTATTAACAAAATTCATTTTCATTTTTATCAGCATCTTAGTTTTGCTCCAGTGAACTCCTTTTCCCCTTTAAGATTCAACTGATGAAGAAGAGTGAACACCCCACCCGGAATTCTATTGTAGGTATTGGAGAATCATAGCTAAAGGCATATTGCAAATTATTATATGTGGTAAAAAGTAAAAGTACAATGAAATATTCTTCATATCCAAAACAGCGAAGATATATTGAAATTGGATTATTTTTTAAAAAGTAAACCCAAACTATCATACAAGTCCTTACACAATAAATTATGCCTTTTCTAAACACTAAACAAGTCATTTCTAAATACCAAACAAGTCAATTCTTTCCATCTCCTCCCTGCCCCCCAAAATAAAACCCATTACAGGGTAGTTTTTGTCTGAGTATGGAGATGACAAGCAAAGCTGGCCCTGGGGGACCAGAGATGGCACAGGGAGGTGACAAATGAAAGATATTCTCTTCCGGAATTTCCAAGAATTCCTGGGTCAGCTACTACCCAGGAGGTCTGGGGCAAAATCCCACTGTTGCAGCGGAGAGGAAATTGGCAAGGGATTCCTTAAAGGATGGAGACTTGAATTTCATTTCAGCACTGGCAATTCCCCTGCTAGTGAATCAGAGTGCTACATTTCGAGAGGACTGCTTCTATGTAGGTGACTGGCAGATGGAAATGTGTACCTAAAAACAAGTGATGTGTCACCTACGGAGATACCGCTGGAAGGTGTTTCCCTCGGGCTATGGCCTCCATCCTTCCCCTTCAAGCAACAGTTAGCAGGGATTTGTCTGAGGTTTGAACAAAAGACCAGATGGGAATTCTTGCTGTCAGGCTGTGTCCCCAAATAAGCAGGGCTGAAAGGAAAACAAGTGCCTGTCTCTGGGCCAGATCTTCAGGGCCCCGTGGAATAAAAAAGGTTAGTTGCCTTCCTTTCTCTTTAATCAGTCCTGTCCTTTCTTCAGAAACCACATGCCATGATCTCTGGTCCATCTCATTTTGAAAAGTACGAAAAGACTCTGAACTCCTCAGGGCCTGGCATTTGAACTCCAGTCCTTTCATCTCTTCCCTCAGAACCTGGTACACAACATGCCCTGCTCTTTGCTCATTAATTCGGCTGACCAAGTAACAAGACTGGTGAAAGTGTTTTGAAAGTTCAGGCTCTACTTCATGCTCTCATCAGATGCCTGGGGAATAAACCAAGAGAGGTGTCGGGGGATAAGCCAGCCCCCGATCCTATAGGCATGTACGTGTTGAAAGACCTCGTCAGTGAGCGTACTGTTCAGAGTCATCATTATTCTGGTCCTATCCTAAGCAGACTATGAAATTATATACAATTCTTACTGGGGAATCTGACAAGCTATTTAAAAAGAAACATCACCCAAACAAACAAAAAGCCACAGGTTCAAATCAGAACTTCTGACTGATGCAGCTCTTTTCTCCTATACCTACCTTGTCAGCATATTAAGAATCCAAGTTTCATGTCAATTTGCCCCTCATCCAGAAGCTTCACAAAGGATTAAAGCGCTTTTGACCAAAAAAAAATTATTTCTTTATTTGAAGATCTCGTTGAATTTAAGAAATTCACACAAATCCTTGATTCCCTTCTTTTGCTATGTGAAGGTTTGGAGAATAGAGATCTTGTGAGGAAGGTGGTCTCCTCAAATAAACAAACCCGAGAGTAAAGCAGTCCTGAGGAATCTGATGTGGGCTTAGTAGGAGACATACATCATTGACACATAAGTGCTAGGTTCATTTTTCAGACAAAGGACATACGGCTTCAGAAAATAGTGGCACAGTGCTGGCTGTACGCTAAGCTTCTGGAAGATTAAAATGAATGGAATTTGAGGGTGAAAGGGAAAGTTTCTAAGGCAGTGGTACTCAAATTTTGGCATGCATCAGAATTTCCCATAGGGCTTAAATCACAGACTGCTGGATTTCACTTGCCCACACCCCTGAACTCACTAGAAGTTTTTGATTCAGTAGGTCTTGGGTAGGGCCCGCTAACTTATATTTCTAGTAAGTTCCTAGATGATGCTGATGCTACTGGACTGATAACCACTACTTTAAGGAAATTAAAGCCTTTCTATATATGCCTGTATACAGGAGCTTTTTCTTATGATCACCCCTCGCACCCCTGACATTCTCTTCTACAGCCCCAGAGAAACAGAACATCCTGACCACTTTGCCGTCTTGGTGACCTGATCCTTTTGGAATCTTGATTCTGGCTTCTTAATAAATTAACAAAGATTCTTGACTCCTGGTCACCTGCAATCTTTCTGCTAAAGAGTCTGTAACAGATGTGTGTTTTATTCACTCGTACACATGAGGAGACAGATCAAATCTATACCATCCCTGTCATTTCCTTTTTTGGCAATCATGGCAATTACAGTTCTTCCTAGGTCCTTTAGACGATACCTTTCCATTCAGACAAGCAGTCTTCCTTGGTGTCTCATGTTCTGAATGAGCTTTTCCCTTGCCCGCTTTTATAATACCAATGGATTTACATATAATTCAATGAGAGCATTTTAAATTAGCATCTCCCATTAGACAAAGCACACCAAGCAAGATTCTCTCTAAGCTTCTCTTCTTTTTACAACCCAAGGAGTGACACCCCTAGCTTGATAGCAAATGGGGCCAGCTTTTTAAATACAGGTTAGGTGAAAGAAGATTTATGTGAAAAGAAGTCTAATTCTCCAGCATCTTGGCTCAGGAGCTAGAAAGCTTCTTCAGGGGGATTAAACAATTCCCATGTAAGAAGTATACTGACTAAAACCAAATTTTATCCGTCTTTTAGCATCAGCTGTGGCTGCCATGCTCTGGAAAAGGATTTTTACGGAAACAGGCAAATATCCCTGAAAAAAAGCATAATGGCCCCAGATCTACATACAGAGAAACAACCGGAGCAATTTAAATCACTCTGTTCCTAAGAAGGAGTTTAAAGTTCTATTAATAAAAAGCAGAGTCACTCAAAGATGAAAGTTTAGTATAATTCAAATAAAAGTGAGCTTTAGGGCCATTTCCCAATACTTATTCCCCATCTGAGATTTGGAAGATCATTATGATACCTCATGGGTCTGTGGCAGTTACTGGCATTACCTGATTCATCGACTCTCATTTTTTTTGTAGGGCTGTCACAATTCTCATCATCAGACATTTCCATTTCTTCTTCGCGGCGGATGCCCATGAGCTGCTCACTTTGAGCATTTCGGAGCTCCTGCAAGTAGAGGATATCCAAATGTCAGAGTCATAGACACATATGACTTTCCCCAATGGTCTTTGGGTGTATATAACTGATAATATTAACATTTAGAATCCAAAGGTTTTATCTCCCAAATATAGCCTCACCTAACCTAAAGGAGGTTCTGGAGGGTAGGGGGTAGAGGATAGACCAAGGTCAGGCTGAGATTAATCCCTGCTCACCTATGCCTAATTAAGGGCTCTTTAGCAAATTATTTAATCTCTCTTGAGTCTCAATTTCCTCATTTGTACAAAGGGGATAATAACATTCACCTGGCAGAGCTGCAAAGACTACATAAAAATATCTGTTACATGGCTGGCATATGTACACTAAGGACCTAGAACTTACGGTTAAGAACATTAACAGTGGAATTTTAAAAAGCACTATTCTACCACTGACCCACTGTGTGTGATATTAGAAAGAATTCTTCATCTCTATTAACCTAAATTGCTCACTGGAATATTATGATAAAAATAGTTTTGAGGATGAAATGAGTTAATGCATGTACAATACTTAGTATCATGCCAGACACTTGGTTTGCTAAGTTGATAATGCCGGAAATTATTATTTCTCATGCAAACATGGTGCCCCTGCATGTGTGTATGCACACGTGTGATCACATACACACACATATAAGCACACATACACCATCAACTACATTTAAAATTAGTAACATGTTATGGAACAAAACACAGACAGATGCCTTTTCTTTTGTACTGCACATGGTCACGCAGGGGCTATTGTTTTTGTTGTAACGGTTCCTTAGCATCACGTTTAGAGCCACAGATTTTAAGATCATATCTTACTTTCTCCACTTATTAGGGGAGTGACTACAATCAAGTTATTTAATTTATTTGAGACTTTGTCTATTCACTCACAAAGGAGGAATAACAATACAAGGCTGTTTGAATGCAATAGCATTTGTAAAAACTCATTGTAAAGAGTAAAGAATTATACAGTAAATTTCTTACTACTGTGCCTAAAATCAGGACACTGTAATCACTTTTGCTAAATATTTATATTATTTTGTATCAAGTTGTGCATTACATATTTGTGAATCCTTCCTTATTCATTCTGTTCTCTTACATGTACTGTCTTCAGAAATACTTAAAACGGGAAAGGCTCCCTTATTCTTTTTCCCTCTGTAAAGTCTCTAAATAAAAGTCAAAGTTAAAATAATTTCATTTTATGATCAATAAACATATGAGTAACAATAAAAGTAAATTACTACATCTAATTTATTAGTGGTATGACTTTAAACATGGTTCCAGTGCCCATTTGATAGACATGCATATATCACTTCATGTTATGGGTTCTCTCAATTCTTTACTCTCCTTAGCGCACAGATTTTAACTACAGCATGATGGAGAAGAAATTATTTATTGCTAACAGCATTTGAATGATCAACAATGTACCCTGGGAATCACCCTTGCAGAGGACAGGGAAGGAGGAAAGCAGAGAGACAAGGTCTGGGGTGGGGTCAGGGGCACCAATCACAGGGCAGACCTAAGAGGCCAGAGGGACGGCAGACAAGGCCTCCTTATTTGATTATGCCACCCAGAAGAAAGAGGTGCCAATTCCATCTTAAATAACACCATCAGGCATTGGAGGTGGGTGTCACATGTGATTAGTGGGGAAATTTTTAGGCTGTGGACAGCTAATTTTTCTACTGACAAAGAGCCCAATTCCCAAAGAGGTGGCCTGAAAACACTTGAAACAAGGAAAAGTCAGGTGGAAAGAATAAATGAGGCTGAAAGGGCCTGTTGTTTAGTCCCTGAGATTAATGACACACTGTCATATGGAAGTTGTTCTTGTGGGAAAGGGTGGTGGAAATGAAAAAAAATTGAGGAAAAAAAAAAAAGCTGAGGGTGTTTCCACAGGGTGCCTCCGGTTCAGCATTAAATCACTAGTACACTCTAATAAATCTGTAGAGGTGTTGCAGATAATTAACAGATGCTGTACATTGGAATGTGGGAAAAAAATCAAGCCAATTATCAAGCTTATATGCAACTGAGAAATCATCCGCAATGTTAAATTACCAACTGGTATTTAATCAATTAAGTGACATGCGGGAAAGAAAATCACAGCTAATTTAGAATTCTGTGTCCTAACGTATGTCAAAAGAGGTGGGGAGAGTAGCAGGAAGGCACAAAGATCCTTCGCAGGAGCACCTTTGACAGTTGCACTCCATCTGTCCCTCTGGAGCCTCACTTCTGCCTCCTAGCACCAAGCAAAGCAAGCAGGCTTCCTTAGGCCCGCATGGAAGCCTTCACACGTTCTACTCCCCACTGTACCCACGGGAGGAGGCAGGGCTAAGCAAAGGTGAAAAGTTGAGACAGATGTGGTGGGAAGCGTGATTCAGATCAGTAAGTGACATTTGCTGACACATTCTAATGATGGCCTTTTTATGCTCAGGTTTATTATCAGGCCACCAGCCTGTCTCTCAACACTCCTTTTAATCATGTTTGGTTTTTATGTGAAGAAATAAACAATTCACGGACTGATCATTCCCGAATCTGAAGCATCATTTATGAACTCCAATTTGTATTTTCATAACCCTCAGTTTGTATACTGCATCACACACAGAGGACTCTTTTTCAATCCTGAAAATCAACCTGGACCTGGGTCTTAGGTCAGAGTCAGGGAGAACACCAGGAAAGCATCCTTCATTTTTCTGGCCCCTGAAAAATTAGAGAGAAATCCCACCTCTTCCTTACTCATAGTCCTGAACAGAAAAACAGAACTGTATCAGTCACCCACCACCTTAGGCATTAGTGAACAAAATTAAAAATGTCCTTCTTAACAATAAATTGCACTAGCATTTTAAGTGTCACATTATTGTGAAGTCATTCGGTATTCACCATAATAACAGTGATAATAAAGAATTCATTTGGTATTCATGTGGATGTTACATCTAGTGCTATTGGTATTCAACTGTAATTTAGCATTAGTTAATGGGCACTTAAAATGCTACCCAAATGATTGATATCATAGTACTCTGTGGTTCCTTAAATTCTATATAAAATACTTATTTTACAAGTGTGAGCCAAAATCATTAAATAAATAAACCTTACCTTCCATAAGTTTGGAATTTTGAAAGAGGGGAATATCATTTAGAGAACTTTAAGATTAACATGCTAGAGATGGAGAGGCATCCAAATGAAAAACGTTCTTTCATTTAAAAAAAAGAAGCAAAGACAGTATACTTACTTTTAAAGTACAGGTTCAAAGGGTACACTACTCTGTGGAGTTAAAAATAACAGCTGGACGACCAATGACTAATGACACATTTTGGTCCTTCTAGGTGACTAGGAGGTCAAGTTCTAGACTGTTCTCTTGGGGGTAGATACTCACACTTCACACATGCATGAATGCCGATGGGTGGACCCAGCTGGCCTAGATACTTACTCCCCTTACAACATTGGCTCTGGGGAGAAGTGTAATAGGATTTACTGGCTAGCATAGGAGATTATGATGAGAAAATATGGACAGAAAGTTGTACTTGTCCAAAGAGCAAACTGTCAGCATCATGTAGAACACTTAAAAAAAAAAAAACAACCCTCTGTCTTTAAAAGCCAGTTTTCTATTGTAAGTTACATTTTTCTTCAAAATAATTTGCTAGGCAAAGTGTCTTGGTTTACTTCTGAGATCTTTACTATGAATGGGAAAAATTATTTTCTCCCATAGCAGGGGAGAAAAACACTCTGTTCTCATAAGTGTTAAGTCAGCTGCTTTTCTGGACAAGGAACAAATCTCAGCTGCATTTGGAGCTGACAGTGAGACCAGACAATGGCAGGCAGACTGCCCACTGTAACAGAAACCATCATGGCTGCAGCCACGCTATTCTCTGCCAATCCAGCTGTGTGATGGTGGTTAAAAAGTAATAATAAAATCACCAACCTCAGAATGCTTTCGCCAAATGTCTATGTTCTTGCGCTGGGCTTTCGAGAAATGGTCCCAAGCTTTTTGTCTGGTAGAAGCGTTGAAAACGGCCACAATCTGCTCAACTTTGGTGAACAAGGAAGTCAAACAAGACAAGTAATTTATGTTGTGATCACTATAGGGAAGCAAAGCAAAGACACTAGGAGTCTATGGATGATGTCACAATAGAAACAACATCATCAATATCCATCCAATTTGTGCCTTTTGTACTTACATTTTAGCAAGGTTGGGGTTGTCTCCCTTCAAGTCTGCCTCCATAACTTTAGGTTAAAACAGATTCTAAGTATGACTGGGAAAGGGCATGGGCATCTACTTCCAAGCATTCTTTAGCTGTTGTTTCCATATGTGATTTGGTCTATCTATATACCTAGATCTATAGATATACAGACACTGGTGTTGGCATCCAGATATACAAAGTAATGCCAGGTTGGGTATGGAGAAATGAAGCCAGGGAGAAGTGGCTGAACGAGGAAGAGCCAATCATATATCATTTTTCCTTTTGGTCTCTATCTCAAGGACTCAACTGCAGTCCTCTCAAGACATTATCATGTCCAAGTTCCAAGCTGGGACAATAAACAGCCATGCCATATCTCCCCTCAATCTCAGGGAGTCATTCTTCCTCCTTGGCTCCTGTTTCTCCCCCTGTTGCACTGACTGCTGCCAGCCCTCCAGCCCTCTGGCAGGGAACAGGAACCACAGCCTCCACTTCAAGACAGACCAAAGCTCACCCAACCAGTGGCACTGGCATGCAGGTCTTATTTCAACCACCATAGGGCGCCCTCCATAGCTCCTCATGATCACCTTCCATTGTCACTTTCATAAGGCTCTGGCTCCCAAACCACTTGAAGTTCTAGCTTTACCATCTTGACTTAATTTAGCACTTCTGCTGCTTCCAGACCTGGTGCTACTGGACTGGTAAATGCTGAGAGGTTGTGAACAAAACTACCTAGACAAAGGCATGGGCACTTAGTAGTGGGTGTTAGGGGTGGGGCCAACTAACTGTAGACTTAATCTTCCTTAAACAGTTATTGATCCAGTAAGCATGAGATGAAGGAAATTAAAGCACTGAATTAATCATATGATTAAAACTAAAATTCTAAATTTTTAGTTAGGAAGGCATGGTTAAAATTAGGTTCTCAAGGATTCTAACACCTTATCAACATAAATCTTTCATAAGTGATTCCCAAGGCTCTATTATAAAAAAGGACATCAAAGCTCTTCCAAATCTTCTGGTGTCCAAAGAATGTCAAAGAGCAATAGATTAATCCTCACAGAAGAACACTTGGTGCCATAATTTTTTAAATGAGCACACAAAATAAGTGTATAATGGAGCAGAAAGAAAAAAGCAAATTCCATTCACTTACAATATTGTGAATATTTTGTATGCTGATGAGCAACTACTTCTCAATCTATAGCTAATTTTCACAGCGGGCTTTTATCTTTTTACTATTAACATTTTTACTATTTTCCACTTCAGGAGAACACCAACCCCAAATCTCCTTATTTAGCAAAACCTGTCATCATGTCACATGATGAATTTATTTCACTCAATTTTAAGAGGAGGATTTGCCTTCACTTTGGCTCATACTCTCGTTGGGCACATGTGGCTTCCCTCCCCGACCTCGCCTGGAAAAACTAAATACCAGAATAAACACCTGGGGCTGCTCTCAGTGCTGGCCTTGGCTCACCACTGACCCTTAGTGCTCTGGTTGGCTGCCCTGCAGCATGGCCAGCAGAAGAGAGAATCTGTTCTGGCAGATCACTGGGGCTTTTCTGTTTTGTCTGTACACAGGCTGGGATCATTGGGAATTTCAGCTGCCTTCTGTAGGGGCAACACAGAATAGTCAGCCCCAAATCTAGGCTGGCAGGAGTAGTTAATAAAAGAGGTTATTAAAAGAGTAATGGGCTTCATTGCTTATAACAACAGAGCTCTTTGGCATCCTTTAGAAGGGGAAGAACTATGATGTCCTCTCACCAGTCCTAAGGGGAAAGGACAATAAGGGTTGAGACTGTTTGGGTGGGAATAGTGAAAATTCTGACATCAATCAGAGAAGGCTGTTAATAAAAAAAAAACACTAAAGAAAAGTATATCTGTTCATAAAAATGTGTAAGGGGTCGGGGAGAAGGAAGGTAAGAGAGACTAGCAATGCACCTGGAGGAGTATAGAATAGAAAGCACTAAGGCCCACCTCAAACAAATCTCCCAAGCTGAATTTTTGTTTCTTAATGCTATCTAGGCTCATGATAGAGCCTTCACTCTGTAGGGTACAGAGGAATTTGTTTTTCCTTTAAGGAGTAACATTTCCAATAGTGCACAGCTTTAGGAGTAAAAGGAGATCCCCTAATATCTACTCAAGCCATGTGCTATTAGATATTTCCTGTTTGTGGCTAAGTGCCTCAGTCACTTAGAACACGTTATTACCATATCCCAGGGCATAAGTTCAGTTGATTCATCATTCAACAAACATCTGGATTCCTACTAGGTACTAGGAACATGATTAATTGCTAGAAACATATGATCAAGGCCCAGTCCTGTCCTTGATGCAATCATAGTTTCAAAAGAGGAAGAAGGACAAGCAGGTAATTATCCTGTGCAAGAGAGGCACAGATGACAGCTTTGAGGACACAAAGAGAGTAACTAAGTAGATGAGTGGGATTAGAAAACATTCCACAAATAAAGCAACATTTCTGCCAAGTCTTAAATAGTGAAGCAATGCTTGCTAGGCAGAGAAGGCAGGGATGGCCTGTTCAAAGGCTGGTATAGAGTTGTGGGAGAATGAGTGAAAGTAGCTGTGGAGCTGGGGCTAGTGCTAAGTATGAATTAAGAAGGACCATGCAAAGTTTCTCTGATTAGAAACTTTATATTGTAGAATTGGCTTGGGAGGAATTACAGTGGAATGAATTAAGGCAGAGGCTCTGGTGCGGAGTGTGGCACAGGCAGCCATTCGACAGGGAGACTTCATAGGAGGAGGCAGCTGACTTGCTACATGGGAAGAGGAAGAGGGATGGGAGGTCACAATGACTGGAGCTGGGAAGTACGTTCCAAACTACATGAACAAGCACGGGTGAGGGCTGAGAAAGAAGAGGAATCTGCTTTCGGACATGCTGAGTTGGAGATGCCTGAAGGCCATCCAAGTGGGGCTGAAATACGGATTAGGGGTTCAGAAAGGAGTCAGAATTCAAAGAGATGGATCGGAAAATTTCTGGACCATTCTCAATTTCTTGTATTCTTTTTAAAAAGGGTAATTAATTAGATGTAAGACTAAGTGGGATTTAATTGTATACTTTTCTTATGAACTTTTACACTTTTTTCCCTATACCAATCAAAAAGCAAAACAAAACAAGACAAAATCCAACAAAAACCCAATAACTGTGTAATTCAGCTGAGGTCTGGCAACTACGCTCACATGTCCCAGTTTACTTCTCCCATTGCTGCACACACTGTCCCTGAACCAGCTATTTGTCTTGCAAATGGAAGTTCTTGGGCACACACACAAAAAGGACTCTGGAGGATTGCTTGGCTCAGCATTAATTCATGAGCATTAGAGAAAAAGCACCTCTAAGAGTATGCCCTAATGAATGTCATTCAAAGACAGCATTATTTTCAAACTCATAAATCAAGACGACTACGGGGATTGACGTAAATACACTATTCATTGCTTACAGTAGGAACCACCAGAGAGGAATCCCATGAATCAGATGACCACTTACTACTTCTCTGGTATAATTTGTACTACTTATTCTATGTTAAGTAGTTACTATCCTAACAGGCTCTTCAAAACTTTGCTTCTCAGAGAAAGTTATAACCAGCAAACAAGACAGCATTGGCATTTGTTTAAAACAAGCGGCTTACTTTGTGCTGCAGGCAGAACAAATTGAGATCAACTCCCTATCCAACGCCTTCACCACCTCAGCAGTCTACAGAGCGGTGGCCAGAGACCCCACACAATCCTGTCTCAGATAAAAAGCAGAGATCCTGTTCCGATTGCCACCTGATTTATTCAAGAAAGTATACTCGAAAGTTTTGCAGGTAAATTGTTTTTTCCTTGAGGGCTAACATTTTCCCAAATTTCTATTAGCAACTGAGAGAGCGCTCCATCAGAAAATTTAAATGTACCCCCTCACACTTTGCAAATCTTTCCCCCAATTCTGTTTGAATTTTTTGCCTAAATTAGGTTATTTGAGGATCATAAGAAAAGTAGAAATGATAAATTCTTCAGAAATACGCCTGAATGCCAGTCTTAGATATCACAGTAGAGTCCCTAGTATACCCAGCAGCTATAAATGACCCTAAGGGCAGGATAAACGGAGCCCTGATGAAGTTGCTAATCACTCCATTCAGCTGCAAACCCTCACTAGTGGTTATTCATTCACTTACACACGTGTTTGTATGGAGATACATACCCTCACCGAACATACACGTGTTACACACATACATGTCTACATGCTTCCAATTTGAAACAAATCCATAAGACTAATTTAACAACATTTTTTGCATTTTTCCCAACCCCAAAATGTTTGGACATTTGGTGAGTTTACAGCACACTTCTTACTGATAGAGAACTTTACAGACCATCATGAGACGCAACAGTCTTTCAGGGAGGGAAAGCTCAGAACAGGCCATCCTTCTATCCAGAAACAGTCCACACTGAAGCAAACTCCCTGGGAAAAAGCAGCCACTGAGCACAAAAGTTCAGATTTCCGGGCTGCACAAGACACCTGAGTTTTGAGCTCTGGGCAGGAATGCATGGGAAGTGATAAAAGAGAAAGGTTAGGGTCCTCCAGAGAACACAAACGCAGCCCTTTTCTCTTCATGTCCTGCCGAATGTGTTCTTTCTTACAGGCCCTGCACCTCCTGTATTCCTTGTCCCAGCTAAACAGCACTGAAAGAGTCTTAATCCAGTTAGTGTCCCAAATATCTGGAGAAACTGATTAAGTCCTTACAGGCAATAGGCTTGCCTAAATAAAGCACCTCAAACAAATCTCCCAAGCTTAATTTTTGTTTCTTAATGCTATCTAGGCTCATGATAGAGCCTTAACTCTGTAGGGTTCAGAGGAATTTGTTT